GTCGTTCGCTGGGCACGTGGCCCGCGAAATCTCGGATGACATACGTTGAGACGAAGAAGACGCGTTTGATGACTACATTATTTTATGCGGTCACGACGATTGGCCATATAGATGATTGTGAATTTAACCTGACCCGCGTACCTACTTATATAATATTATGATGACGTTGTATACGTGGACGATACGTTTTACAGAATCGTAATATAGATGGAAAAAACACTATGTTGTAATTTAGGTTGTCGCGCTTATCCGCCGCCGCAGCCGCTGCACTTTCTCATTTTACAAGTCAATAAAATAAAATAAGAGAATATAAACACTAAACACTGGAGCAGCCTGCAACCGGTTATCCGCCGCCGTACACCTATTATATACATATAGGTGTATTATAGGCACCTATATAATACTGAGTAACTTGTCAAGTCGCTAATTAGTCAACCAGGGTGATTAGTAACCCGCCCGGTGAAACCAGTTGAAATTTACTGGCGAACCCGACAAAAATCGTAAACGTATGTTATAATGATAATATAATAATAATAATAATACTACCCGAACACATAAATCCACTCTGCCGCCGGTCGTCTTCGGATCAAGAATATAATGCCGTATATTGTATACATATATAGTATATTTATTTAATTTATGTTGCAATATAATAAGCGCGCGCGATTCGAAAAACATGCGACGAGGAATGCGTCTTTGCGAAGCTATCTGAACATTTGTCTAGAAAATTTTATTTTTTAATAATTTTGATCGTCAATATACACGTGTCGCCGGTCGGCCATCAGCGTCTTATTTTCTTCGCATTCTTTTTTTTTTTTTTTATCACACTGGCACGTCAAATACTCGAATTTGTTACTCAGATTTATGATTGTGCGTGGGCGTCTCATCACGAAGACCGTTCATCGTATACCTATATTATAATATATGTGCACTGCAGATTGCGTTAATATACGCCGGTGTACAATTCGTTTTGGCAAATAGGATTTCGAAAAAAAAATTATATTATAATATATACGTTTTACATCGCAGCAGCACGGCGGCGGGCGACCAATGCGGTCCGGTGAAAAACATGATTTATTCCATCGAGTTTTCATTGCGCGCTTGTCTTATTATTATTATCATATATTATTTTTTTTTTCAACTGCATACTGGTCAATATGTATTATTTTTTTTTTTCAAAACGATTTACACTATAATCAAGTTGTTATTCCGTGTCAGTCTTCATATACTTATCATCAACTATCTCACCTCCGCGAGCGAAACGACTACATTTGCAGATGAATTATCTATAAATTCGAAATTAATGTTATTTTATTATTATCGTGAGCGTTGTTCGATTATATTTTATTGTTTGAAGCAACTCAATTTACCAAATGATTCGAAGGCGATTTCTGTGTTGGCGTATTCCATTTGTGAATAAAATATATAATATAGGTACGTGTGTGTATATACAAGCTATGTTATAATGTAATTGTTTATCTCATAAACTATCTATAATTAATAAATAATAATAATAATAATATATACAACTATACAAGCCAAAACTGAAGTAGAATTGGGTACTATACTTAATAATATTATATATAGGTAAAGAGGTACCTATTATACAAAACAGTATTTTTATTAATTAAAACGTTCGTTTTAGAAAAACTGGTTATGTTCAAATTAACTCGTTAAAACACATTCGTGACACGTTATGTTTTAGCTAAAGAGTACCTACCTATCGGGTGTAGGTAATAAACAAAGTATGTGTTAACAATAAAATTTTTATTCCTGAAATAATCAATGCGTGAAAAAATGCCAACATTGCTAACTATAATCTAATTTAGTAATGCAAGTATAGATTTTATAACCAAACATGTAAACAATAATTAAATAATATTGTATCAATGTTGTCTGTTGTAAGCGTGGAAATTATTTGTTTTCATAATTAAAAAACTATATTGTCTGATCGCATACAGCCCAATTAAAATAAATCACGATTTTTGTTCTCGTGGAAATTTAATAGGATATGATAATAGAATGAATTATCCTACCTAACATATATAATATTATGATTAATAATTTTGATTTTATCTACAAAGTCAAAATAGGTTCAATGCAGGTTTGGCAGTTTGTAATAAAGTTGCAGAAAACAATTTTTAATTTTACAGGCTATATATTTTGCGTTGTCGAATTTCGGACATAAGTGTATCCCTTAACGATAACAAATAATATTAGTTTGTCCTCGATGTCAGCTTGTCAATAACGTGTCGCGTGTAACTCAATAAACAATAATTATAGTCATATTGATGAAAATTTAATTTTTAATTTCTCTGCCGGAAATATTATACATATATACCAACAATTAAATGATCACACAGAGAAATACAAATGAGTTACAGTTATTCATTGCTAAATATATTTAATATATTATCTAGGTATTAATGTATTGTTATATTATTTATCTAAAGACATTTAATTTTAATATACCATTAATATACCTATAAAATAATCATAAAATGAATGTCATTGATAAACAAATATATATATAATATTTCATGAGTGTTAATTGTTATTAATAACAAAAATTTAAAAAAAAAATTTTAACTTATTATCAAATACTAATTTAAAGTATTTTTAACAGTCAATTAGTATTGTGTGATTTAAATTTTTTTTATAAATTCTTAGTGTTAGGTACTTGTTGTTTCTATTTGAATGTAAGGAGAAAGTGTTTATATTAAAATTTCAATGACGTTTAAGGTTTGTTGAGAATCTTGCAGATTATTAATAATCTATTTATTTTCGTAATTGTTACAAAAATTGTGTCATTCTAATTGAATTAAGTGAAATCTGTGACTATACATACATATTTTCGAGGACGTACACCCGTGTAGACGATGTAGCCGTATTCGATGCCAGACCATATTATTTTATAAAGACGAAGCGTGCGTGTATCATCGCGGTATTTAACCGATGTATCCGAATTAATTTCGCCAGAAACGAATTAAAAATCAAAACAACCGAATTATTGCGTGTGAGGTTAATTAATAGTGTAGGTATAACTGTGTTGCGTGCGAAATTAATAGGAGGTATGGTAGTCTGCAGGGTCTGCATGCAATGCTATTAGAAAATTATTATTTGAATCACATATAATAATATGTTTATACGCAACTACTGATGTTAGTCAATGTAAATAACACTGCAGGTTTCGTTATTCAATATTATTGTACGATTTAACTCAACTGTTTTTGGTACACCATCAGCCTCCTGACTGGAAAATAAAGATGTCTCTCAACACTATTTGCCACCCCGGAAACTAAAATTATCCTTCAATAATTATTGTGCTTATATTGTGTTATATAAATAATTATTATCTCTTCGTTTCCTTAGTTGAATTTATAATAATCAAGGATCTTTATGTGTTTGTTATGTTTGACTATTGAATAACACTTTTATATCTTACCCTTTTATATATTATAGATGGATGATGGATTTGTAAACATATATATAAATGTGTTTAGTGCTCGTTTTACACAATATAATTATTATTCGTTTCAAATAGTATTATATTTTAAACCGTCTTACAACGTAAACAATACAACCGCTATGTTTATAAAAGTGAAATCTTATATGTATAGCTCTTAAACTTTACCAAAAGGCCGAAACCAGCGGTAATCTCACTAACAAAACTGTACTATAAAGTTTTTAAGTAGGTTACCTATACATACAGCTGTAGTATAATATGTTTTAATTAAATTTAAAATTTAATATAAACAAGTAGAGTATATTATATAATGTGTTTAGGGATATAAATCTTTTAAGTTTTTCAACCGACCAAATATTTAATGACTGAGATTGAAATCCTGTGTATACAGATAATTTTTGGTCTAATCGATTCTTATCATATAAACGTGTCACTTTATTATATAATGTAGGTTCGATGAGTGTATATAAAAATTATCGCGTGGCTGTAAAAATTGTGAAGCTTGTGAACACTGTCAAACGATCGTAAATTCGTACTGCCATGTTATATAAATGTATGTCAACAATAAAATAAAATATTCAGAAGAAACCCGAACGACGTCTCTGTCGCCTGTCAGAGGGTAGTGGTAGTGATGGTGGCGGCATCGCCTTCGTATAATAATCGTTTCACCGCCTGCGATCGACTGCCGTATTGCTGTAACCTGACTACTACTACTATATAATAATAATAATATTATACTCGACGACATGTCATACGAACTCAATCAACCCGTCAGCGTTTTCCCGCCAGTGTTTTGGTGTGTACGTACGCGTATAATTTTGTACGCGCAGAGCATAATAATGTCATACAAAGCGGGAAGATTCGTCGAATGACAAATAAAAAAGAAAAATTAAACAAAACGTCGGCGATGGTGGCGGAGAAGATACGCGCCACTCGAATCCGATGCGGGTGCGACGACGGCGGCGTTGACGTGATAAATAATAATAATAATAGTAGTAATAAAATGCCGACCAAAACGAAATTACACATTTTTCACAGTCTCGTTCCCACGGCACGGCGGCAGAGGTGTGACAATGATATTATACTATTATAGGTGTCGTGTTGTCGTGTTATATATTACGGTGTTATTGTGAAAAAAAAAATTCAAAATGAAGACGTTACTCCGTGTAATAATCGAGCCATCATCTCGCGCATATTAGGTACGGCTGTATAGGTATTATTATTAAGCATTATCGTCGCGCCCCGCCCGCCAGACTCCGCGGTGGTGGTTATCAAACATTGCCCGCGTCGTTATATATACCTATATTTTATTGTGTATCTTTTATATTATATTTTATTATATTATTTAACTATATATATCACGTATAATAGACCGCATAGGTACTACCTAATATAATATATTGTATGTATTTGTTTCGTACCTACGGTTTATAATCCAATAAATAATAGGGTGATTATTATATTATTATTATATCACAAGACACGTGTATAAAATAAAAAAATATATATAATCATCATTGTCGTGTTTTGACAGGTATGTTGACAGTTCCCATTGCCGAGGTGACGTGGCCCATGATATTGGTCTTGGTGTCGTTGCTGTCCGCCGCCATCGGCGCCCTCTTCATGGTCGTCTTCCTACACCTAAAACTGTGAGTTTCCGTCTACTGGTTTATACCTATCTATTATTATTATAATACCTACATGTTTTTTTTTATTGTCGGGTTTTTATTTGATTTTTGTCAACGCGCGTTCTTCGTGTTGTTTCCTCCCTATGCCCTGCACCGCCCTTACCGCAATATCGTATTATGCCATTACGTCGTATCCAGGTATAATATATTATTATGATGACGGACGACGCGTAAGATCATAATATGATGGTGTGTAAAGCGGATGGTTTACGAGCAGACTTTTATTTTTTTACGACGGTGTCAGCGTTTTATAAATATTATCGCCGAGCTAAAATATACATCGATAATAATAACGATTTTGTAATATTATTATGTCCATGTACATAATATTGCATGTAGGTAGGTACCTATATACGAAAAGCGAGATGGATATTATAATATACGACCGCTCGGTGACAATAATAATCATTACAAGCCTTTTTACGATCAAATATATAGGTACGCACACGCATTATATTATAATATATAAATATACTGCACACGCGACTGCAGCACTATGTATAATAATATATTTATATATATAATATAATATACATAGGTGTACACGCGTTTAATGTACGTATGAAATTATAAATGATAAACATAAAATATATAAGCGAAATTTTTTTCTCGATATCGCTGCAGTGTGTCTCTTGTACAACTGTATGGTATTATAATAACATATATTGTAGGTACTTACCTACAACGCACACACACACACACACGTCGTCAAGTTTATGTATTCGCTGCGTACCTATATTATGTCGTGCGATTATATTGTGTATATAACATTTATATATATATATATATGTGATATTTGCCCACACGCGACACACGGTGCACACGTACCTATACGCATGTATAATACAATATTGTAAAACGTCAGTGCGCGCTAATGCGACTTCGCCTACGCGCGTAATGCTGGTACGCCGCGCCGGTGAACACATACTACGCGAGAGCTCTCCGGCGCGGTCATAATAAAATAAATGAAGCACACCGCACGTCATGACAATAATATATAATACGTACGGCGTACTTTAGCGGCGCACAAGCAGACTTTACACGACGTACGCGGCTTACACGCATGTGCGAGGTAGGTAGTACCTATATAATATTATGTATGTGTATACGATATAATATATATTGTGCGCTGCAGCGCAGCGTGTTCGCGTATATAATTACACGACGCGCAACATCGTTTCGAACGCGCGCCCGAGCCCAGGACGTCCGCGTCGCCTTTGGTATTTGTTACACGTACCTATACGCGCCCTGTCGATTAGCCACTCGTTAACTTGTCGCGCCCGGTCCGGGGTATGATAATACCATAATAATTCCATGTCCGACCATCGTAATGATACTATAAGGCGGGGGGCACCCGTTCTGTTTGATTTTTTTCCGATTTAAACATAATTATATTTCGCCGGACCGTCGGTGGCCGGATTTTGGCCGAAAACAGTGGTCGCGTAGTACCTGCTATACATGAAAGTGTACCTACGATTTCCTAAATATAATAACAACATACACATAAATACATAATATACGATCGCCGTCACACTGGCGGCACACAAACACAGACACACACACGCGCGTGCGTAAAATACCGCGTCGTCGACGTTTATAACAGGTGGCAGGTCCGTTTTTATTAAGTATTATTATATTTTTCATTTCGTATATTATATAGATACGGAGGGGTACGCCCACATTTCACTCGAGGGCTTTATAATAATAATCGTTATATTATTATATATTATATTACAGGTATACGCGCGCGCGTTTCGTACCCGATCTGCACATAAATAATAATAATAATAGTAATAATAATACATGTATAGTATGGCGCGTTTGTAGTAATTATCCCGACCGAAAAACGAGATTATGATATTATATTATTATTATTATATACATATACATTCCTATAACGAACCCATCGATTTTTAACTATTCGATTCCCGCTGCAGCTATGCAATCTGCTATATTCGGCTATTCGTATACGTTATAATATACACATCTATATATTATAATAGTAATAATAATGAGCAATATATTATACGTGGTTATTATATTATCAGATTTGACTTGGTAATTTGACTTGGTACCGTAAAATATACATATATACACTATAATATGTTATATAGTATGGTATACACATTTTTTTCATTTATATACGCAGGCGTTTATAATATTATAATGCTATACTAAATATATAGGAACTGATAAATTGTACAGGGGTGAAATCCGACGAAGTCCATGATGCACAACCATTCGATTTTACATAATAATTTATGTACTTTATATAAGATGGAATAATTTATAACTTTGATGAATACGCATGCGAATGTGTGATCGAGCTATTTATTATATTATTTATGCAAATGTTACGGGAATAAGTCGAAATCATGCAAACCTCAGAAATGTCCGGGCAAGACACAAACTGCCTAAAATACGTGGTCAAAATTAAATATTTTTAGAATCGCAAATTCATAGAATAGCTAAATATTTTTTATAGCAAGTTAATTTTGTAATTATCGTCATGGCGGTTGATCATTTTTGGGACGGCCGATAAAAACGTACAATTTATACCGCAAATTCGGGGAAAATATACTTTTAAATATAGGTAGATTTAAAAATAAATGATTACTTTAGGTTTTTTACCGTAGTTCCGTCAGATGTACCTGCAGGCGAAGTAAATTGTATGCTTGTATAATATTATGAAATGTACGTAGTGTTCAACGATCAAACATAGTCGTAAATCGTAATGAGCAAACAAACATCTTTGACTCATTTTTTCAAACAAGACTCCACCACTCCAACATTACTTAATTCATCTTTAGCATTTTTAAATGATTTCGATTCAAATGTTAATGAATATGAATATGAAAATGAATGAAAACCATCACTTAAAAAGGAAAAATTAATCACAACATATTTTAAGTACAATGAAAGTTTCGTTGGATATGGGTTTACTTATTATATGAAAATGATATAGATTTGCCACAATGTCTTATATTATGTGGAAGGTATCGTGTTGGCCATAATGCATCTCTAAAATATAATACACTTTTGAGTCATCTTGACTACTTTTATAAAACATATAATGTTCATAAAAAAAATTAAAGATTTTGTTTTAAGAAAATTACACGGGGTTAAAAGAAATGAAAAAAAAATTATCAATTCCTTAACTGTGGTGGATAAAATGTACTTAAAATGTTCATATTATGCAGGCAGCATATAGCTAAACCCAAAAATAATATACAATCAACGAAAAATATTCAAATCTTGCATTATATATTTGTGCCTATGTATAATAGTTGTTAGGTATTGTGGTATCACCCGTATTGGATAATACGCGGTAAACCAACTTTATACCTTACCCTCGTACGCTCTAGGCTAATGACTGTCTCTAGAATAAATTCAGATTAGCACTGTTAACCTTTGAGGTACGATGGTAGCGTTTTGTCAGTTCTTCGTTCGTTTCCTAAATTGGAATGACTATTAGGACGCCACAACCAGAGCACTGTTCAGTTTGTAATAAACCTCATTGACTATAGGTGTGTGGGTCTGAGCACTGTTCCAATATTAAAGGTAAGAACGAAGAAGACTTTGAAATAAAACTCAACTCGGGTTTTTAGGTCGGAAACACTTATATTAAAACAAACATAAATGAAACACTTAGCAAATTCAAATCGTCTAGCCCGTACTATGATCGACGTTTCACACGTACGACCACAGTACCTACGTCCTCGCCGATTCACTCAGCGACAACGGGACTCTCCCTGTGCCTGCGCGTGCGGCGGTGTTATATAGTAATCTTATCGCTGTCTCAGCACATATGCTTCACTGACCTATGTTAATAGTTTACAATTTAAAATGTTCCCACCTCTATTACATATATGAAATAATATTTTGACGACTGTCTACAATATACGACAGTATAATGAGCATGCGTAGATAAAATAAAACATATACCCATGACCAATGACACTATTATAGCAGATAAGAATAAATATTATGGCTCATGATATTTATATTTAAGTATATATACTTATTCAAAAAATAACAAAAAACCTATATATTAATATTATAGGTATGCGATTCAAATCGATGAATCTACAGATATTGATAATGAAGCAATATTATTAATTTATACTATAGCTGATGTAGATACTGATTTGAATGACATAAATGAAGAGTTTTTATGATGTTTAAAATATGTACCAACATTTTGTACATATGAATTAATCTTTAGATCCATTTCAGTTTACTTTAATAAAAATGATTAAACTTTTTCTAAATGTATTGGTACATATTATTATACTGTATATAATATGCACTGATAGCGCTGTAGAAAGTGTAATGGTCTTGTAACACGATTCAAATGTTAAACAAATCACTATCATGCACATATATCATATATATCATACCTATATATTATGCATAAGTCATAAGAATATACTTTCAATTAATTGTTTCATTCATCTGATAAAATTAGCAGCTACAGATTTGGGTGAAAATATATGTGATGTTGTAAATGTATACTCTATGCATACGATAATAAACTTATTTCAAGCCAATGTAGTAAAATAGTAAATATATGTATTTGTAAAGTTTTGTGTGACAAAATGGGTTAAGGTCCCAAAGTTTCCTTCTAAACACACGTGTCAGATCGTTATCACGAGGAAAAGTCTGAACTTGTTTATTTGACCTTAAAACCAAATTGGAAATTTTTTAAACACAAAAAGTCACCCTTTGTTGAATATTTTCAACATAATATTATTTGATGATTAGAAAAATAAATTTATATTTTAGAGATATTTTTTATTATTATTGACGTAAATATTTTAGTATGCAAGGGCTGTATCTTTTTACACTAAACAATAAAATAGAAAAATTTCTTAACAAAATTCAACTTTGGGAAAATAGAGTAAAAAAAGTATAGGTAAGTTTGCAGATATGTTCCCATATTTATTTAATATGACACAAGA